ATAAATACCAAATTTATTTTGATTCTATAAATATTTGCAAAAAATATACTTTTAAATTGGTTAATTTTAATATGCTACTAAATGCATTATTGGCATCAATCCTATGCAGTTGGATAACTGGGTAACTCTCTCTCTCTCTCTCTCTCTCTCTAACAGATAATGCATTACTGACCGACTTCTGGCACTTGAAATGTCTCGTCAACCTGACAACAAATATTAGTTATTAAATATTGTACATCAAATGTATTTCAATGCTGAAAATTTACTTGAAATTCTACGTCCGATTGTATGAGTCTTTCACGATCTTTGACTGTCATAGAAGGCGGCAATACATATAAGAATCTGTATAAGAGATCTAATCCCTGTCCAGAAACACACGAAACCGTAAAGATTGGGATTATATGATCGGTTGTAAGTCTACTCCCATAAGTGATCACATCGTCTTCTGACTCCACTCTTACGGGAATCTTATTATAAAAAAATCAAAATCACATTATTTTACCAATAATTACAATAATTAAAACTTTTAAAAAATGAATTTAATTACTTTTTTACAAACTGGAGATTTGAGCAGATCTTCTAACTGTTGTAATGTTGCTGAAAGTGATTCACTGTCAGTCAGATCTATTTTATTGACCACAACCACAATCGGCACATCCAAAGCCAGCGCCAAACCCAAATGTTCCCTCGCCTTCAATACGTATATAATTTAAATATTTATGATATAAATACTGTATAACTGTTTTGATTAAGACATACGGTTCCGGCAAAGACGCCTCCAATAGCACTGATGACAAGCACAGCGTAGTGTCCATTCATCGCCATTAATCCAAATACTGTTGTCTTTAAGTATTTCTGATGTCCTCCCAAATCAATAAATGTAATCAATTTTGAGGACAATTCGCAAATTTCTTCGGCAGTTCGGCACACATTATAAGTGATGGGAACGCCTTTGTTATCAAATCCCAAAATTTCTTTGCTTATACTCGAAGTCCTTCCCGTTTGGATCTCATGCCTGTGACGGAACAGATTTAATCGGGCGCTACCTATAGATCACAAACCAATTAATTAGTTATATTCAACTCATTTACACTCTAAACATTTAAACCACACACACCTCTCCCGTTATCGAGTTCTCCCTGAGTTAATACACCTTATAATATAAAATAAGCACAATTAACAAATATGTTTATAATGAATGCAATAAATCATCACAATTTAATAAATGTTATTACCCAAGAGAGTACTTTTTCCGGTTTCAACGTTACCCAAAACAGCAATTCTGAGTTCAATGGTCTGCTGATCGTCGGGTACTTTTCGGACCAACACTTCAATAGCTTTTCTACATTTCTGTTGACAATCCGTATATTTATAAATCTTGGAGTTTTCGTCTCCGGTTATAATTCGTTCTCTCAATACAGTGAGAGTTGCGCCCAATTTCTCGGCCATTAAATACAAGGTCTGCATCGAGGCGTTCACCTCGTCGTCCGACAGACCGATTAATAAACCCTTGTCTTCGACGCCAATCTCGTAAATCGCTTCTCCGTGTCCTTCAAAACGAGACAAATATTGTATTAAATGTGAGTAAATATAGTAAAAAGCATCAATCGGTACCTTCTCTGAGCCTCCACTTCATTTGAGTGACCAAATGCTCGAACCTATACTTCGATGGGTTTATGAGTTTGAGTTTGTACTCAACGTTTCCCTCTTCACATTCGGGCGGAAGACAATCGCTTCCCGACAACAATGTTTTGCCGCTCATATCAATACCATTGTCTCCCATCAGGTCCTCTTCATCGGTGTCCAAATCATTACCAAATAAAGATAATAACGGATCCATTCCTCTTCAATAGCTCTTCAAAAGCGATATTATTTAATAGTAATTGTTGTATTGTTTGACAGACTTTTATGAGGAAAGAAAATGAAATGATTTCATCAGTTATGAAGTTTTGTATAAAACCTTATTATATAATATCAATAATAGGTATAAACAATGCATTCATTCAATTAATATATACAACAAAATGTGAATAAAATGATTGCAATATTAATGTCTAAAACATAATAAAAACGTTACAAACAAATCAAACGTCACTTTAATTGTCATTTTTATGTTAGAAAGTGTTTTGACGTAAAGTCTGTGGTATTTGTCATTGAATTGAGTCTAATATACACTTAAGATAACATTGAAGTCTAATCTGAAACTATTTATATCTCATTTGTTGTAATTATAAAAATATTATTCAAATCATTGAGATTTTCAATTTGAAAATTATAACCAAAAAAATACAATTGAAGGAAAAGTGTGTCAATTAAATGAGCATTAATTACAAAGCAATGATTGAAACATATCTTACCTCACATTGAATTCAATGATATTTAAGACAATTGAAAGACTCAATGAATAAATTGAATAATAATGAGTAAAATGAATGAAAACAACTCAATATTGTTAACAATTAGAGTATACTCTAAGACGTCAGTGAATCAGCTGTTGGGTTGGCTAAGGCCTAGCCTTACGTTACGTAACATAACGTTATTTTCAACAGTCGTTGCATTCATTGATAGCATTGAAAGTGCAGTTCATTTGCTGTACACTCGATGTACAGGTTTTTCACTCACATATGTTTGCTTTCAATTCACTTTACAATACCATAGAGTTGTCAAACACTTACATTACATACACTTGTAATCAATGTTTTATTGATTTTCAATTGTTTAATCAATGAGTTATTGCTTGAATTTGGAGACAATCACATTAATTGTTAGCAATTTATACATAATAGTTACATAATAGCCATTATAACTACTGTTACAAATGCTTCACAATTTACAACATATTTTACAATATTCATAACTTGTGGATATTTGAGGTTCATAATAACAATTGAGGTCTTTGTACTAACCAGGGTGAATATTAAAAACTCCAGTAAATTGTTTTTAAAATAACTTTTGAATAACCAAATTGGTTAAACCAATACTATTTAACCAAAATTTATGTCATGTCAACTCAATTATAAGATAATATAAATGATAAAATAATATACAAATGTAAAATCAAAATCTTGGAAGTATTTGACCAGATATTTGCGGTTTTTAATTAATAGTTGAGATGAAGTCATACATTGTAAATAATTGTGTAATTAATTAATGATTTCAATAAAAAGTTTGCAAACTATAGTACAGTTAAGTTTCATGAATTGAACAAAGTTTTCAACATTTATATTAATAGTAAAAACTCGTAATTTATTGAAAACATTGCATTAATTAATGTATTGACGGATAAACTCAATGATTGAACCAATGCTTCAAACACTGTATTAAACGTGATTTAATAGCAGTTAATGAATGCATCACTCAATTAGTGGTTATGTCTATGAGTTATGCAAACAATTGACACATTTGTATTGAATTGCATTGAAGTGTTTGAATGATTGAATCGATTGAATCGATGGCACAGTTCTTGTAATTGCAATCAAGCGTTGAAGTGATGGCCAAATGGAGATCTAATAGTGACTCTTCTGAAGTGACTTTTGAACAGTTAGAGACCGCCATCGAGACCACCATTGGTCACGAGAATGACCAACACATCCAACGACTCAATGAAAACATCGCCAACGAGTCCACGACCTCTCAGTCCACAAGACATCGCATCACAAACCCGAGACCCGGAGCTCACAATCAGACCAATTGTCTTCAGACACAGCGTAACCGAAGCCATCACTGGAATGGCTATCATTGCAATTCACACCAAACACACCATCAGTACTACAATCACTCAAACCATTTGATCCATTCCTCCGCTCATCCAAACCAATCCAATCACAATCACATTCATTGCAATCGAAGTAATAGTCATTCAAATCAATGCAATCAAGAGATGGCGGCCAACGAAGAGCTCGACCCACAGGGCTGTCACTCGAGCCATGGTTTGCAGCAACAGTTGAACTACTCTTTAGATCAGACAGAGTTTGAGCGCATTTGGCGTCGCCTGGAGTGCAACAAAGATCGGTTCCGTTTCTTGCAATCGTTGTACAGCACGTCCGGGAATCTCATCTTCTCGGAGATCTCGTTCGGCTCTTTGGGAGACATCGCGTCAGCCCTTCAAGAGTTCGACGAATCGGTGGACGACTTTGTGTTTGTGGTCTATATTCTCAACTCTTTGAGTCGCGCCAAACGTTTTCTCCTTTCCCTACAATTCCTGACTCTTGAGGAACGCATTGAATGCAAGAAACTATTTATCAAACTCTGGAAGAGTATGAATGATATCCGACAAGACTTGGCTGAGAATGACATCACAGAACTCACTATCAATGCCCTCATGAAGACCTACGAGATTGACATCGACTAAACATCTAAACATTTTTGTGAAGTTTTTGTTATTTAAATACATTTATAGTAATTCATTATTA